CAATGCCCCTAAATGACTTTGGTCCACGCATTATGATGTTCCGCTTTAATTATTCACCCAAAAATGCCCCCATTGAAGATGTTTTTCGTTCGGTTAATGCAATACCCCAAGTTTTGTTGGTCGATGACCCATATGCCTGTATTTATGGTACGGTTTATATTGTTGATATGTCCCAAATAACTACAGGACACATTCTGCAATTAACCCCGCCCTTTGTAATGAAGGTAGTTACCTATTATGAGAATACACTGCCATTGAGGGTAAAGGCCATCTATTGTATAAATGTACACAAATTGGCGGAACAGCTATTGAAACTGATATTATCGTGTATGGGTGAGAAGTTGAGACGAAGGGTAAGTGGCACTTCGTATACATATAATAATATATTTTTAAATAAAAAAAATATTTTCCAGGTCTTTATTTGTGGTAAAAATTTCGACAGCATATATCAGGGCCTTCCGCCAAAATACTTCCCTCAGGATTATGGTGGTGAAAATGGAAGATTGGAGGAGTTGTGTGCCGATTTTAATAAGAAATGGGATGAATATCGTGAATATTTTCAGGATAATATTCATTACGGGACAGTTGAAAGTTTACGCACTGGAAAACCCATAGATTTTGATGGATTATTTGGTATGGGAGGTTCCTTTAGGAAATTGGATGTAGACTGAAAATAAAATAAAAATTACTTATAGTAACAATAGAAAGAAGAAAATAATATCAACTGAGTTCTTTCTTTTGGAGTACCCCATTTAATGGGCTTGGGTCAGTAAAGGGCGAAAGCCTACGTATCTTGGATAACCTGAACTAAATTACAGCAACTTTGTTTGAAAAATGCATTTATATGATAACTGGATGAATCCGGCCTCAACATAAGCCAAATTATCGTAAGTCTCCAAATAATTTCTGATACCTGGAAATCAGACCGATTTTATTTCTGCCGCCAGTTACAAAGAATCTTGAGGCGATACTCCAACCATGAAGATGAACAATTTTTAAGTTTTCTTGTTTATTTACTCTAAATGGCGCCCAACGTGATTGGTAAGCATTCATTTATCTTTAATCCAGCCTAGCTGAAGGAGGTTTTCTTCTAAGTAAGGTTTTCTATAAGAAATCTTCAATTCAGCCTGGCTGAATAAGGTTTTCTATAGCAAATCTTCTATTCAGCCTGGCTGAATAAGGTTTTCTATAGAAAATCTTCAATTCAGCCTGGCTGAATAAGGTTTTCTATAGAAAAACTTCCATTCAGCCAGGCTGAATAAATTTTTCTATAGAAAAACTTCCATTCAGCCAGGCTGAATAAATTTTTCTATAGAAAATCTTCAATTCAGCCTGGCTGAATAAGGTTTTCCATAGAAAATCTTCAATTCAGCCTGGCTGAATAAGGTTTTCCATAGAAAATCTTCAATTCAGCCTGGCTGAATAAGGTTTTCTATAGGAAATTTTCAATTCAGCCTGGCTGAATAAGGTTTTCTAGAGGAAATCTTCAATTCAGCCTGGCTGAATAAGGTTTTCTATAGGAAATCTTCAATTCAGCCTGGCTGAATAAGGTTTTCTATAGGAAATCTTCAATTCAGCCTGGCTGAATAAGGTTTTCTATAGGAAATCTTCAATTCAGCCTGGCTGAATAAGGTTTTCTATAGGAAATCTTCAATTCAGCCTGGCTGAATAAGGTTTTCTATAGGAAATCTTCAATTCAGCCGGGCTGAATAAGGTTTTCTATAGGAAATCTTCAATTCAGCCTGGCTGAATAAGGTTTTCTATAGAAAATCTTCAATTTAGCCTGGCTGAATAATGTTTTCTATAGGAAATCTTTAATACAGCCTGGCTGAATAAGGGTTTCTATGGGATATCTTCAATTCAACCCGTCTAAATATGGTTTCCTATAGATAGTCTTCAATGCAGCCCAGCTGAATAAGGTTTTCTGTAAGAAATCTCTTAAATCTGTCATAACACGTTAGATAATATACCAATTAAATTTATCTGTGACATTTGACTATCTATTACATGCTGTTTTGAATATATGCATATTTCTATTAATTAGTCATACACATTTAATTGCAGAAATTATTCTAATTTCTTGAAAGTTATTAACTTCTATACCATGTTGACAGTGCGCACGCAGTTTTCCGCAATACGACTCTATGAAAAAATTGTAATTATAATAATTATGGCAAAAGTTTTCTTGAAAAATTTTTCTATTTATTTATTGCCACACTTTGAGTGGACTTATAGCAGTTGCCTTTTTAACTTTCACCATCACCGACATGCTGCAGTTTATAGCTCTTAACGAGGATCTACAAAAGGTGGCCAATACGCAGTTGGGAGAGAAACCATCAAGGATAGCTGAGGATTTACTGGCCCTCCGAACATGGATTGAAACACAACCACATCTCAAAGCCAGAACGGATGATCAATTCCTAATACAATTTCTCAGAGGCTGTAAATACAGCCTGGAAAAGGCTAAACAAAAATTGGATATTTTCTTTGCGATGAGGACACAATGTGGGGAATTATTCAACGTTACAAATGTCGATGATATGGCATTTCGTAAATTTCATTATACAGGGTAAGTAAATCATACAGAAATCCATATTAAGCCAGGCTAAATTGAAGATTTTCTATAGAAAACCTTATTCAGCCTGAACCTTATTCCGGCTGAATTGAATATTACCTAATGGAAACCTTATTCAGCCAAGGTGAATTTAAGATTTCGTAGAGGAAACCTTATTCAGCCCAGCTGAATTTAAGATTTTCTATAGAAAACCTTGATCAGCTAGGCTGAATTGAAGATTTACTATAGAAAACCTTGATCAGCTAGGCTAAATTGAAGATTTTCTATAGAAAAGCTTATTCAGCCAGGCTGAATGGAAGATCTTCTATAGAAAAGCTTATTCAGCCAGGCTGAATTGAAGATTTTCTATAGAAAAGCTTATTCAGCCAGGCTGAATTGAAGATTTTCTATAGAAAAGATTATTCAGCCAGTCTGAATTGAAGATTTTCTATAGAAAAGCTTATTCAGCCAGGCTGAATTGAAGATTTTATATAGAAAAGCTTATTCAGCCAGGCTGAATTGAAGATTTTCTATAGAAAAGCTTATTCAGCCAGGCTGAATAGAAGAGTTTCTATAGAAAAGCTTATTCAGCCAGGCCGAATAGAAGATTTTCTATAGAAAAGCTTATTCAGCCAGGCTGAATTGAAGATTTTCATTAGAAAAGCTTATTCAGACAGGCTGAATTGAAGATTTTCTATAGAAAAGCTTATTCAGCCAGGCTGAATTGAAGATTTTCTATAGAAAAGCTTATTCAGCCAGGCTGAATTGAAGATTTTCTATAGAAAAGCTTATTCAGCCGGGCTGAATTGAAGATTTTCTATAGAAAAGCTTATTCAGCCAGGCTGAATTGAAGATTTTCTATAGAAAAGCTTATTCAGCCAGGCTGTATTGAAGATTTCCTAAGGAAACCTTAATTCAGCCAGGCTGTATTGAAGATTTTCTATAGAAAAGCTTATTCAGCCAGGCTGAATTGAAGATTTTCTATAGAAAAGCTTATTCAGCCAGGCTGAATTGAAGATTTTCTATAGAAAAGCTTATTCAGCCAGGCTGAATTGACGATTTTCTAAAGAAAAGCTAATTCAGTTTGAGTAAGTCTTATTCAGCCAGACTAAATTAAAGGTTCCCTATAGAGATATGAATAATTTATTTAATTTTTTAGAACACTTCTTTTCCTGCCGATACCCTTAAACGACAATGGCCCTCGGATAATTTTCTATCGTTGTAATTATGCTGCTCAGGATTTCACTGTGGAACTGGTTACTCAATTTATAACAGCATTGCATGAACTAGCAATGATATCAGATCCTTATGCTTGTGTTAATGGGATATCCTATGTCCTTGACCTGTCGAAGCTAACGCTACAGCATGCAATGCTACTAACACCCATGTATCTCAAAAAGATTGTACAATTTTTTGAAAATACATTGCCAATGCGTGTCAATTCGCTAACGGTCATAAATTTATCACCGGCCGCGGACCACCTGCAAAAGATAATATTTTCATGTTTTCCGGAGAAAATAAGGAAGAGGGTATGAACCAATTATAAAGTAGGAAGGACAATATATACTAATTGGTGTTTCCTCCATTTAGATCTTCATTTGTGGCCGTAATTTTGATGATGTATCCTCGCATATACCGCGTAAATACTTTCCTCAAGAATATGGTGGAGAAAATGGTTCTTTGGCCCAACTTGTTGAGGAAAATAACAAAATGTGGGATAAGTATCGTAACTATTTTAAGGGCAATGCGGATTATGGTACCAATGAACGTTTACGTTTTGGCAAACAGTTGAACTTTGGAGATAATTTGGGTATGACCGGTGGGTCGTTTAGGAAACTTGATGTGGACTGAATACATGCAGTTTATATTTAATAGATGATATACCAAACATATCGTAGTAATTTTTATATATTATTATACAGTAAAATATTACAATGTGGTATATTTTTTTTTTTAAATAAATGCATATGACCTAACTTATTTATATTTTTTATTATCTAAGGTAAAATTTCCTATAAAACCAAATTCAGCTAAATTGAATATTTTTTATAAAAACCCTTATGTAGCCAGCCGGAATTGAAAAATTTCTATGGAAAACCTTTTTCAGCCAGCCCGAATTGAAGCATTTCTATGGAAAACCCTTTTCAGCCAGCCGCAATTGAAGAATTCCTAAAGAAACCCTTATTCAGCCATACTGAATTGAAGATTTCCTATATAGAAAACCTTATTCAGCCAGGCTGAATTGAAGATTTCCTATAGAAAACCTTATTCAGCCAGGCTGAATTAAAGATTTCCTATAGAAAACCTTATTCAGCCAGGCTGAATTAAAGATTTCCTATAGAAAACCTTATTCAGCCAGGCTGAATTGAAGATTTCCTATAGAAAACCTTATTCAGCCAGGCTGAATTGAAGATTTCCTATAGAAAACCTTATTCAGCCAGGCTGAATTGAAGATTTCCTATAGAAAACCTTATTCAGCCAGGCTGAATTGAAAATTTCCTATAGAAAACCTTATTCAGCCAGGCTGAATTGAAGATTTCCTATAGAAAACCTTATTCAGCCAGGCTGAATTGAAGATTTCCTATAGAAAACCTTATTCAGCCAGGCTGAATTGAAGATTTCCTATAGAAAACCTTATTCAGCCAGGCTGAATTGAAGATTTCCTATAGAAAACCTTATTCAGCCAGGCTGAATTGAAGATTTCCTATAGAAAACCTTATTCAGCTAGGCTGAATTGAAGATTTCCTATAGAAAACCTTATTCAGCCAGGATGAATTGAAGATTTCCTACAGAAAACCTTATTCAGCCAGTCTGAATTGAAGATTTCCAATAGAAAACCTTATTCAGCCAGTCTGAATTGAAGATTTCCTACAGAAAACCCTATTCAGCCTGGCTGAATTGAAGATTTCCTAAAGAAAACCTAATTCAGCCAGGCTAAATTAAAGATTTCCTATAGAAAACCTAATTCAGCCAGGCTAAATTGAAGATTTCCTATAGAAAACCTTATTCAGCCAAGCTGAATTGAAGATTTCCTATAAAAAACCTAATTCAGCCAGGCTGAATTGAAGATTTCCTATAGAAAACCTTATTCAGCCAGGCTGAATTGAAGATTTCCTATAGAAAATCTTATTCAGCCAGGCTGAATTGAAAAATTCCTATGGGAAACCTTATTCAACCGGGCTGAATTAAAAATTTCCTATGGGAAGACTTATTCCGCAAGCCTGAGTTAATAATTTCCTATGGGAAACATTACTCAGCCAGGCTGAATATGGCTTTCGCGCCATGTGTTGGTCCTTAAAAAAATATATTTTTTAAAAGTATTTTTAATTTACATAAATTTGAAACTAATTAACAAAACTTAATCTACTTCAATTTTCCGAAACGAACCACCAGCACCAAATTGCACCTCATCACCACAAATCGGTTCACCCATAAAAAACTTCTCATTGAAATCAAAACATGAATTCATTTCGAAAAATTCCCGATATTTTTCCCACATGTTGATGTGATCTGCGCGTAACTCCTCCAGACTACCATTTTCACCACCATAATCCCGAGGTAAATATTTGAGAGGCAAACTTTCGGGTAATGAACTCAAATCTTTGCCACAAACAATCATCTGTAAATAAAAAATTAACGAATTTAATTTCGTCGGGAAAATAATTTATCTGCTGGTCTTACCTTCTTTTTCAAAGCTTCCGGCATAATGGATAAGCCCATTTTCAAAATTTGTTCAGCATAGGGTTTGAGATTTATCAAATAAATAGCTCGCAGGCGCATTGCTAAAGCCTTCTCCTTAAGGCTTATGAGAAATTTCAATAGGGTTATAGTCAGTCCTGCCAGATGGTCCTTTTGTAGCTTTGTAAAATCCATAATATAAACGAGACCACACACCCCAGCATGGGGATCATCAAAGGCCAGTACTTCATGTAAGGCACACATGAGTTGTACATAATTTTCAATATTATAATTGGTGGTGATGGGGTATACAAATCGCTCCAAGATAATGCGGGGGCCATTACCATACAAGGGAATGGGAAGAGGTAGAAGGGATCTAAAACCGATGTTTAGAATTAATATTTGAAAATTATCGATAATTTATAAATTGAACTTACCCCGCACTAACCATTTCCCGAAAAATTTTATCATCGATATTCGTAAGACGAAACATTTTCGGAAATTTGGTCTTTATCAGACATGTATAGGTTAGTTTTTGTTTGGCCTTTTCCAAACTATATTTGGAGCCTCTCAGAAATTGTATTAAATATTGATCATCGGTGCGAGTTTTTATATGCGGCTGCAGTTCTATCCATCGTCGGAAATCTTCCAAATATTGATCAATTCTTGATGGCACCTCCCCCAATTCCTCGATGGCGACTTTTTGTAATTCCTCAGGTAGGGATTTGATTTCGGGCATTTTGTATCATCACAATATTCACTTGACTGTGCGGGTATCTCGAAAACAATAACAAATATTGGAATATTGTATTTCAATTTAAGTACAAATAAATAAAGCTTAAGTTGTAATGACGAAGACATGTGAAATTATTTTATGAATCGGTTTTAAACAGTGGTGGTCATGAGTATAGCATACCTAGCATACATATCAAGTGAATTCTTTTGGGAAACTTCACCTATGGATACCCTCCACCATAGAAATACTTGCAGTTACGTGAAATTAAAATATGGGAAACATACCAAACAGTGGACCTATAACGACATTTCTACCAACCGATTATGTAAACCATAATACAAATTTCTAAAATTTTTAGACCCCATGTTTCTTTGGACCAAATCCGTTTCAACAAATTTAGATTTCATCCAAACTTTGCCCATCTTACTATTTCTTCCAAACTTAGTTCAAGTTCGAAGATGGGAAATATCGGTCCACTTTTTCTGGTATCTCCCAAACAGGGGCTAGGTCTAAATGCGGGTTATAGTTCACATATAGTTTATTATCGAACCATACGTTCTAGTTTGTTATCTCGATATCCTCCGCAGGTGAAAAGAAAACATCAGAGTCTTAGAACCAAACCCAAAACACGAAACAAATCAGATAAAGATTTTTAATATAAATAAAAATGGGGTTATATGGGGAATACCCCAAAAAGGGGGCGAATATTAATAGTTGGTGGAGAGATTTGTTACCATATACGACTACAAAATACCAAATTGCTGCGAATTCGGTTGAAAATCGCGCTCAAGAACCTCAAATACTGAAAATTGGGGGTACCCTTATATGGGGGCTACCCGAAAAATTTACCTATGTTCATAATTTTTTCGTGGAGGATTTGAAACCTATTAAGAACTCCAAATACTAAATTACAGCCAATTCGGTGGAAAAATACAATCAAAACTCCCAAAATACTGAAAATTAGGAGGTACCATTATAATGGGGCTACCCGAAAAAATAGACCTATATATAATTTTTTGTGGAGACATTTAGTACCCAATAAGAACTCAATGTACAATATTTCAGTGAATTCTGTTGTAACACGCGCTTAAGAACCTCAAAATACCGAAAATTGTGGGTAAACCTTATATGGGAGCTATGACTAAACGTGGACCGATATATCTTATCTTCGAACTTGACCTGTCTGCAGACAAAAGACAACCCTATGCAAAATGTCAGCACCCTATCTGAATTCCTTCAGAAGATAGCGTGATTACAACAGACGGACAGGCGGACGGACAGACTGACGGACAGGGCTAGATCGTCTTAAAATTTTACCCTGATCAAGAATATATATACTTTATAGGGTTGGAAATGAATATTTCGATGAGTAACAAACGAAATGACAAAATTAATATACCCTCCATACTATGGTGGAGGGTATAAAAAGGGGGTTATATGAGGACTAACCCTAAAAGGGGGCGAATATTAACCATTTTTGGTAGGGAGATTTAATAACATATACGACTACAAAATACCAAATTACAGCGAATTCGGTTGAAGCCCGCGTTCAAAAAACCCAAAATACCGATAATTGGAGGGTAGCCTTATATGGGGGCTACCCGAAAAAATAGACCTATATATAATGTGGAGAGATTTGTCACCTATTAATAACTCAAAATACAAATTTACAGCCAATTCGGTGAAAAAATCCTGTCAAAACCCCACAAAAACTAGAAATTGGTTGGTACCCTTATATGGGGGCTACCAGAAATAGTGGACCTATATTTATAATTTTTAGTGGAGGATTTTGGTACCCAATAAGAACCCAGCGAATTCTGTTGAAAATTTTAAACGGCATAAAAATTTGGTTGAAATCGGTTAGGATGTATATTCTCATATATAATTTATTACTTGACCTTTTTCATATTTTTATTTTTCATCCAATTGGATTCAAAATTAGTATTATCGTGTTCCAAGGCTCAACTATACCAGGTCATACTAGTAAATTATTACATACCCAAATTGATATAGAGTATCTTCAGCCACGTACGACTTTGACCCGTTTTAAAAATCGTCAATATTTTGATCACAACTGTAAATGAGTAAATAAATGAATACAATAAATTTTGTATACAATATTTGTTTCAAAATGAAATGTAAATTTTTCCACTTAGTTACAGGTTTCAATGAAAGGTGTTAATTTGCGTATAAACTGAATATTGTGACCCTTAAACGTAGATTTAAATGTGTTGTCATTAAAAAATAACACATGATCGTCAAATCAAATAATGTCTTCATATACAAAATGTGTATATATATATATATATTATTTTAGGAAAATATTTAGAACCATGTTCTAATTTTTTTGGCAACATTAGTTCTCCCATCATACTATCACATAATAATTTTGAAAAAAATGTCTTATACATATATATAAATATTTATACATATTGTAAAAATTTTGTATAATGTTGCAAACGAAATGTAAATCCCAAAACTCCTTTTCTAATAATATTACAGGTCAAAACTTTATTACAAAACCTCTCAAAAACCATTTATTTTCAAGACATTGACTCATTCCATTGTAGCCCAACATCAACAAAACTGTGTAAACATATTTGTTTTTACACTATAATAAAAAATAAATTGAATTACAATTAAATTAAATGATTAAAAATAAATAATAAATAACATTATAAAATAATAACAAAAATCTATATGTTTATAAATTAGTCAGAGTGTATTGACCCAGTGTACATTTTTGCGGTTTTTCAAAATTAATTATAAAACAAAAAACAAAATAAATTTTATGGAAAGGTTAGTATATTTCCGATAAATTTTTAAAAGTCTATAACAAAAAACATTTCGCATCTTCAAAGGAATACTGGTAGGTAAACCGGTTGAGATTTGTTTTGACCGGAACTGCTCTAAAATGCAATAAATTATTAATTGTTTTGTTGATGTAATTTATTATGTCATTTAAGGTGCTTCAAAAATATATCAGTTCTTCCAGAAGATTTTATATAAATAGTAGATTTTCCGGTGAACAGAATAGGAAGATTTTCAATTTATTAAGGGGGTCAAAATTTTTGTTGACATAATTCGAATCTACACTGATTAAGGAATGTCTCTACAAAATTTCAAGTGAAAATCTCAAGAACTCTTGAAGATATATCCGATTTATTGTGTCCGCATCAAGTGACGGCTGAAGGGCTTCTCAAACTTTAAACGCGTTTTTCTCTAAACATTTTTTTGCGATGGGCGGGCACGATAACTCAAAAACTAATAATCCAATCGGTTCCAAATTTTGCAACGTTTCTCTGGGAGTGTATAGCTCTCGTATGAACTAGGATAAAGCCAATCGGTGAAGATCTTCCTTATTTTTTAACTTGGTTTTTGGTCAAAAATCGGCGATTTACCAAAAATATTTTTTCAAAGGTCCACCATTTTGTTAATTTTAGAGCGAAGTCAATAATCCTAGTTCATACGAGAGCCAGACATGTACTCTTTCTAACACCGTTGGAATTTTCGGATTCCGATGTTCCAGTGAGGAGTTATCATGCCCGCCATCAAAAATAAGGTCTTTTCTTTAATTACAAAAAACAACAACAAAACAATAACAAAATGTTGTTGTAAATTATTTTTCTTCTCTTTTAAATCTTCAATTGTATATGTGTAAAGTTACAAACCTTAACAAGCATTGGTATTGATTTACCAGCCCATTGAAAATCTTGAAAAAATAAAATCGAGAATGGGGGGGTTCCCTTAAAGGACTTTTATCGTGATATACAAATTATTACCTCTATCCAGCTTGTCTCCCTGGATGACCTTATTAATAGGCATTGTTCTAAAATGATTATTTCGAGGAGTTACAAACGGAATGAAGGTTGTTTTAAATCGTCGAGATCAACCAGGAACTTATTTACCACTGTAATTTTGCATTCACAACCAATAGTGAGTTGAAAATTTGATAAATGTCTGTGGTGAATTTGCTACGTTTAGTACATAATATTGGTGCTTATTCAATTCAACAACCAAAAAAGTTAAACTTCCAAGTGGGATCACATTCCATGATCTAATTTTACAAAAAAATATTCAAAGAAAAACAGTAAGTGAAGATAAAGGTGAAGGAAATGTCAGTAAGCAATATTGTATGTTAAACAGACAGACGTAGTAATTTTAGTGTACTATTGATATAAGACCGATTTAAAAAGGCAGTTTAAACATTTCATAAGTTGGCCTATTCTATTAAAATACATATTTTGCGTATCTGTGTGTATTGTTTTAAATACTATGCCAAATAAATTAAAATTAAATTGAAATTAAGATAAAATGAAAACCATTTTTACAGCATTCATTTGGAAGAAATTACTATGTTATGGATGAAACAAAGCAATTCATGATATTCCCTAATCTGGAAAGAAAACCGACCTTTTCATTATTTATCTCGTTCTTAGTTATGTGTTAAAAATTTCAAATGAAAAGAATAACCTGTTGCGTATTTTGTATTTGACAGAAGAAGTATATTAATTTTGTCATTCCGTTTGTAACTCATCGAAATATTCATTTCCGACCCTATAAAGTATATATATTATTGATCAGGGTAAAATTCTAAGACGATCTAGCCATGTCCGTCCGTCTGTCCGTCCATCCGTCCGTCTGTTGTAATCACGCTATCTTCTAAAGGAATTGAGATAGGGTGCTGAAATTTTGCATAGGGTTGTCTTTTGTCTGCAGGCAGGTCAAGTTCAAAGATGGGATACATCGGTCCACGTTTAGGCATAGCTCCCATATAAGGGTACCCCCTAATTTTCGGTATTTTGAGGTTCCTGGGCGTGTTTTTCAACCTAATTCGCTGAAATTTGGTACTTTAAGCTCTTATTGGTAAGCAAATCTCGCTACTAAAAATTATAAAAATAGGTCAATTTTTTCTGGTACCCCCCATATAAAAGTACCCTCCAATTTTCGGTATTTTAGGGTTATTGAGCGCGGTTTTCAACCGAATTCGCTGAAATGTGGTACATGGGGTTCTTATTGGGTACCAAACTTCCCCACTAAAAATTTTAAATATAGGTCCACTTTTTCTGGTAGCCCCCATATAAGGGAACCTCCCAATTTCCAGTTTTTTGGGTGTTTGACCGGATTTTTTCACCGAATTGGCTGTAATTTAGTATTTTGAGGCCTTAATAGCTTTCAAATCTTCCCACAAAAATTATGAATATAGGTCCTTTTTTTCGGATAGCCCCCATATAAGGTTACCTCCCAATTTCCAGGTGTTGGGGTGTTTGACCGGATTTGTTCGCCGAATTGGCTGTAATTTAGTATTTTGAGTCCTTAATAGCTACCAAATATCCCCACAAAAAAATTATGAATATAGGTCCATTTTTTCGGATAGCCCCCATATAAGGGTACCTCCCAATTTCCAGTTTTTGAGGTGTTTGACCGGATTTTTCGCCGAATTGGCTGTAATTTAGTCTTTTGAGTCCTTAATAGCTACCAAATCTCCCCACAAAAAATTATGAATATAGGTCCATTTTTTCGGATAGCCCCCATATAAGGGTAACCCCCATTTTCGGTATTTTGGGGTTCTTGAGCGCGTTTTTTAACCGAATTTGCTGCAATTTGGTATTTTGTAGTCGTATATGGTAACAAATCTCTCTACCAAAAATTTTTATTATTCGTCCCCTGTTTAGGGTAGTCTCCATATAACCCCCTTTTTATATTAAAATAGTTATCTGATTTTTTCCGCGTTTTGAGTTTGGTTCTAAGACTCTGTTGTAATCATTTCACCTGCGGAGGATAGCGAGATAAAAAAATAGAACGTAAGGTTCGATAATGAACTATAGCCGCATTTAGACCCTGTCCCTGTGTGGAGGTTTCAGAAGGAATGGGCCGATATTCCCCATCTTCGAATTTGAATTATCAATTATAAATTTCTGAAATTTGTATTATGGTTTACATAATCCGTTTTTAGACATGTCGGTATAGGTCCATTTTTTGGTATGTTCCCTATATTTTCATTTATAGTACTTGTCAGTATATCTATGGTGGAGGGTATCCAAAGTTCGGCCGGGCCGAACGTAACACTTTTTCACTTGTTGATATTCATCCTAAGTTATCCTACCTTGTATCATTTTAACATTCTGTTTGGAGTTTAGAAACCTTAACATCTAATTTGGGAATTAAAATTAATACTCAAATTTTATATATTTAAAATCGGGTTGAATCTGTAAGAGAGGCAAGAAAGGGATTCAGAATGGTTTCTATTTGCCTTTTACTAGCTTCAGGAGGTTATTTATACATTCAGGAGGTCTTTTATAGACAGAAGACCTTTTGAAGGTTTTCATAAATGCGATTTGTACTTTCATAAGACGGGTGAACATTAATTTGTTTATGTTTATTCTATCTAAATAGACGTTTTGAAAGTTTACGTCGGGAGGATACCTAAAATAAGAGGGAAACTCAATATTCCCCTTTTTCAAGAAATTTTAAACAAGTAAAAAAGTGTCAATGGGTGTTGCTGACAAATGCATACCCCCAAGGATATCTTACCTTACGCTGGCTTTATTGTTCGAATTATATAAGATATATGTTTTTATATAAAATAGTTGGCCATATGTGGAGAGGTGCCAAAAGAGGTTGCTCTATAGAAATTATGTTTGAACGTTTGTGGGGAGGTATCAGAAGGAGTGGATCGATGGGTACCATTTTTGGACATGATTTAGGTTTGGTAAAAGTATTACGATTTGCAATATTTGGTTCAAATCGAATATTCCATTCTTTTGTTATCGAATTAACAAATTTTGACACTTTGTCCCATATTAAATCGGTAAAATGGAATGTCCCATTCGTTTAATATTGAATTTATAAAAATTGAATATGTTGATCCTTTGTGGGCGAGGTACAAGTTCGATTCATATCAGATAGTCCGTTTGCATGATATTACAAAATTATTTTTCAGTAAAATTTTGAACATTTTGTGTGGAAGGTACAAGACGGAGTGGACCGATCGCTACCTTCGAATTTGATTTAAGTTTGAAAGAAATATTACGATGTGCAAATGATGGAGGAACACAGTTATCGTGCTTCGACTGTTATCGTGATATCACTTGCCAGCAAGCTAGACGGGCGGACGGACATTTGTAAATCGACTCCAAATTGTCTGAAGCGGCCCAAAGAAACATGGTGCCTCCAAATGTTCACACATTATTCATTTGTAATCGTAATTTGTGTCAAATTGTTTGTATTTAATTTTTAAATAAGCGTTTTAATTGCACAAAAAAAAAAACATGTATGCGAAGATCATTGGCATTTAGACCGTGAAAATAACCAGTTAACAAAAAACGCATGTTCGTTATGAGTTATTAGTTCAAAGGTTATAATAATCCGTAATAAGATGCACTCGGCAAAAAATATATTTGGAATAAATACCAAACTAGTTTTCAGGCGACACCTAAACATAGTGGCACAGTCTACTATTTACTGACATTAATAGTATTTAGATATTTAAATATATATATATATATACATAGACAATGCACACCAGTCATGGAGTAATTATACCCTACACAACTATGTTGACTGGGTATTATAGCTTTGTGCAGCCCCAAGAGTTTGTAACGCCGCGAAATATTGGTCCTATACCCACCTTTAAGTATACCGATCGTCATATCTCGACTAGACATGTGTGTCCGTCCGTCCGTCTGTCCATTATATTTTGTAAACACGATACAGGCCACAGTTATGGACCAGTCTTCACGAAATTGCATGTAGGATGGGTTCTACCCAATGAAGACCCCTATTGTTTTTGGTAAAGATCGGTTAATATCTAGGGGATGAAATGGACCAAAACTTAATTTTTATCGTTTTTTTCTGGTCGCTCTAGAGGCCGCAATTATGACCCAAACATAGAGAAGGGGATCGGACCAACGAATAAGCATGCATGTTTTGATAGGGATCGGTCAATATTTAGCGGGTCAAATGGACCCTGACTTTTGTGTGAAAAATTACAAAATTTTTATTCTATAGCGTATAGATTCACACCTGCACAACACAATGGAAGGGAATCTGGACAAGTAATTAGAAGGGCTGTACAGAACATTAGTAATAATTGTCGGCCTCTAGTTGGTCCAGATGATTCAAAAATCGCGAAATATTGTCCAAGCTCCGAATATAAATCCACAGAAAGTTCGTTTTTCGTGGAATTTATGTAGGGTATCATATGGTCGGCCCCGTCCGACTATACTGCTCCGCTCACTGGTTTTTTAAATATTTTAAAAAAATTGAAGTAGCTGCATATTTTTAGAAAGTTTCTAATAACAACACATTTTGAAATCAATGCATCTCCAAAACAATCTCCAAATATTTTATAATTACTTTAATGCATTTTATGTTAAATTTATTATTATTTAAAAAAACTAAAAAATTAAAATACGCAACACAGTGCCAATTAATACATTTGCATTGAATTATCATTAAAACGGAACGTCAAACAATTTACGAAGTGAATTGAAGTTCGACAAAGAAGTTTATTCAGTTCAAAAGTAACCGCCAACAACGTAAGAATGAAAAATTGCATTTTATCGTTAACTGAAGAATTACAAAAAATTGCCAATGAAGAATTGGGTGAGGTGCCATCAAGAATCCCCGAAGATTTGGCAGCCCTGCGCTTGTGGTTACAACACCAGCCACATTTAAAATATCGTGATGATGATCAATTCCTTTTACAATTCTTGCGGGGCTGTAAATATAGTATGGAGAAAGCCAAAACAAAATTGGATTTATTTTATTCACTGAAATCGAAATATCCTGAAATGTTAAATCTCTGTAATGTCGATGATCCAAAATTTCGTGAAGTTTGTAAATTGGGGTGAGATTTTTTGGAATATTTATTAAAATTATTTTTCTAATAAAATTGTTCATTAGCACCTTTTTAACTTTACCCAATCCGGTGAATGGCATTGGTCCCCGCATTGTTGTGGGTCGCTATTGCTATCCCACAAATAAATATGCCGTGGAGGACATATTTCAACCCGCCTGTGCTCTACATGAAATATTATTGGCCCAAGACCCTTTTGCCTGCATTTGTGGCATTATTTATATTGTGGATTTTAAAGAAGCCACTGCCAGTCATTTTCTTCAAATGACACCGAATTTTTGCATGAAACTTGTTTCATTTCTAGAGAAGTCAATGCCGTTGCGTATTAAATCGGTGTATTATATTAACACATCGGGGGCAGCTCAGCAGTTTTTTAAGATTCTATTTCCATTCTTTTCTCAGAAGCTAAGGGAAAGGGTAAGTAGACCTTAAGGGTAAAACAATTGGTATGTTCCCGAACCTTCAAGAATGTAAATTTTTTTACTACAACATTTTTTTCCTTTATGATATCGAAGAAAATTGTAAAAATTAGTAGATTACTTCCATAAGGGAACAGACAAAATATTTATTATTTTTTGTTATCATTTTTCAAGGTGCATGTTATGGGTGCTGATTTATCGGAAATGATAAAGGATCTTACTGTTGAATGTTTACCCAAAGATTATGGCGGAAATTTGCCCAGTTTGGAGAATTTAACTGTGGAGTTTAACAAGAATTGGGACAGTTGTCGCGAGTTTTTCAAAGAAAATGCCAACTGTGGTACCGATGAATCTCTACGTCCTGGCAAGCCTCTCGATATTGATGGCCTGTTTGGTGTTGGTGGTTCTTTCAGGCAACTTATTGTTGATTAAAATTATTATTATGAAAATGAAATCTCTAAAATTAGTGTATAATTAAAATGGTTTTCAAATGGCAAAATCTTTATTAGGATTCATTAAGCGCTGGTCCAAAGAATTTGATGATCCTTACGTTACAAACTTAAGTTCGACCAACACTAGAGTATGGTTGTATTTTATGGAGTACCTCCTACAAGTGTTATTCTGATAAAATAGAATCTGTAAAAACTGAATTTCTTTTGTTTGCTTTGCGGGGTCTACAATGGGACCCATCTGTAAGGCTCCCCCCATATGAAAGTCGCTTAATGTTAATAGATTTGCCTACCCTTGAAAGAAGACGCTGCTAAGGGCGATTTTTATAATAAAATTGATACGTGGCTTAATCGATTCCTCTAATTTATTAAGTGAAATAAATTTCAATATACCATCCCGTATTACCCGTAAATTTATCCCAATAAATTTACCGCTCGTAAGATCTAATTATGAAGCTAGAAGTCCAATGCGAACTTTGTGTGAAATATTTAACAATATATATAGTAACTTATCACTGACCGAACCATTAGATATAATAAAAAAATTACTATTGGGTATGTAGCAGAGTGCCAGATGTGTATTTTTTTGTAGTCCTTTAATTATATATGTGTATACTTATAGTAGTCTTTGTCGGCTGATAAAATATGTAGCCGGTAATCCCACCATTTACTAACCCCTCCATAGTCCGGACTATGGGGTTTCGCGTTCTCTTCGATATATGGAGGTCGCCCCCACGGTCGGCTGGGGCGGGTGTGAGTGGAGTGGGACCGAACGAAAAAATGGTGTATATTGTTGTTAAACTCAGTAACAATATTCAAAATTGTTGAATACAAAGTACAGATCCATTTAACATATTATATTTTCAATTTCAAAATATATTCATCAATATTTTTTTTCCAGTTGTGAATTAAATGTCATCATTTAAATTATGTTTCTTATCCCAAGAGAGCGATTCCTAAGTAAATAATATTTTTATTTTACAATACATTTTTGATGGTAAAATCGATTTCAATGGATGCAAAATAATATTTCCGTTATTCAATTATAACTTGTTTTGTATTTATTTATCTAAAATACAATTTCTATTTGTTATCAGTATTAAAAACTAGTTTTGAATTTAATGGCTACGTATGTATCAAAATCGGTAGAAACATTGTTGTTGATACGGAATAAAAAAATAAGTGTTGATTGAATTATTTTCATTTAAGGGGACCCCCCCATTCTCGGTTTCAAAAAATTTAATTTTATATTTTGATTCAATTCGAACCTACACTAATTCAAGAATTCTCAAGTGAAAATCTCAAAATTTTTTGAAGATATAGCCGATTAATTGTACTAGCATCAAGTGACGGCAAGTGGGCTTCTCAAACTTAAAACGCATTTTTATCCAAACATCGTTTTTGCGAATGGCGGGCACGATGACTCAAAAACTAATAATCCGATCGATTCCAAATTTTTGGACGTTCCTCTGTGATCGTATAGCTAGTTATGAACTAGAATAAAGCCAATCGGCGAAGATCTTCCTTATTTTTTAACTTAGGCGGTTTTCAAAACAAAAAATTTAAATTTCCGCCAGTTTTGATAATTGTTGTGCGAAGTCAGTTCATACGAGAGCCAGACATGTACTCCTTCTAACACCGTTGGAATTTTCGGATTCCAATGTTTCAGTGAGGAGTTATCACAACAACAAAACAATAACATTTTTTTTGTAAATTATTTTTTTTTCTCTTTTACATCTTCAAATATATGTGTGCAAAGCATATACAAGTCGCCAAGACGTTATTCAAGCCTTTTACAAGAGGTAGATAATTTATCTACGTCATTTTAACACTTATATAAATTACTTACTTTATATAAAAACGCAGATATTTTATCTAGGCCCTTTAGAGGTCCTAAATAATTTACCTTTGTCATTTATAAGAAGCAGATACATCATCAACATAATTCTGAAGAAGTGGATGCTTTATATATCCCATTAGAAGTATGTATAGATAGATAGGTGGCAAAAAATAGAAGACTCGTGTATCGGCGTTTTGAAAGTTTAGGTCGGGAGGTAACGTAAAAAGGTGATAAAGGGCATTATTTAGTATTAAACCCGACCTTATTGCGACTAGAAGGATGGTAGAAAGGACAAAAATATTCTCCATCTAATTTTAGCATAAGTCACCGAAAAAAAGAAATCGGTATATATAATATATATGCCGAATATATAGACGTCAATCTAGACAAAACAAGTAAAAAAGCGTTAAGTTCGGCCGGACCGAACTTTGGATACCCTCCACCATAGAAATACTGACAAATTTTTGAAATGAAAACATAGGGAACATACATATAACGACAATTCTTCCAATCGATTGTTGTAAACCAAATAGAAAATTCAGCAATTTCAATGGGGGTTTTCCTAAAATCTCAAAACCATAAAATGTTGACATATTATTAACGCATGGTACGGTGAAACATGTGTATAAAATCCTGAAAATACTCCAATTTAGAGGACAATATTATATAAAGCATACGAAAGCGGGACCTATATTGACAACATTGTGTAGGAATTAGCAACTACTTGGTGTTTTCATTATATAACGGGTTATGCATAATTAAGGGCCGATATAGTTCAAGTCAATCACGCTACATATTAAATAAGTAGGATGTTTTATATAGGACCTGGTCCTAAATTCAGGTCGACACAGTTCATTCTCAAACCTCACGTTTTAGTTTTTATATCGATATCCTCCGAGAGAAAAATGATTACAACATATGGCTAAATCGACTAAATCGTTTAAGAATTCCATACTATGTGGGGTATGAACTGAAAATTTCGCCTACCGAATATCCCCTCTATAATATTGGAATACATCTATATGGGATAACCCTAACACACGGAAGGTGACTACCCCTAAAAGGGGGGGGGGGGAATATTAATAATTTTTGGTAGGGAGATTTGTTACCATATACGACTACAAAATACCAAATTACATTGAATTCGGTTGAAAAACGCGATCAAGAACCCCAAAATACCGATAATTGAGGGTACCCTTATATGGGGGCTATCGGAAAAAATGGACCTATATTTATAATTTTTAGTGGAGAGATTTGCTACCCAATAAGAACTCAAAGTACTGAATAACAGCCAATTCGGTGGAAAAATGCGATCAAAACACCCAAAAAACTGAAAATTGGTGGTACCGTTATATGGGGGCTATCAGAAAAATTGGACCTATAATCATAAATTTTAGTTTAGATATTTGACACCAAATAAGAACGAAATTTACCAAATTTCAGCGAATTCGGTTGAAAAAGGCGCTCAAGAACCCCAAAATACCGAAAATTGGGGGTACCCTTATATGGGGGCTATGCGAAAAAAAATGGACCTATATTTATAATTTTTAGTAGGAAGATTTGCTACCCAATATGAACTCAAAGTACCAAATTTCAGCGAATTTGGTTGAAAAAGGCGCTCAAGATCCTCAAAATACAGAAAATTGGGGGGTACCCTTGTATGGGAGCTATTCGAAAAAATGAACCTATATTTATAATTTTTGGTGGGGAGATTTGCTACCCAATAAGAACTCAATGTACCAAATTTCAGCGAATTCGATTGAAAAACGCGCTCAAGGACCTCAAAATACCGAAAATTTGGAGGTACCCTTATATGGGAGCTATGCCTAAACGTGGACCGATGTAGCCCATCTTCGAACTTGACCTGCCTGACAAAAGACGACTCTATGCAAAATTTTGGCGATCTATCTCAATTCGTTTAGAAGCTAGAGTGATTACAACAGACAGACAGACGGACATGCTTAAATCGTCTTAGAATTTTACGCTGATCAAGAATATATACTTTATAGGGTCGGAAATAATTATTTCGATGCGTTACAAACGGAAAAACAAAACTAATATACCCTCCATACTATGGTGGAGGGTATAAAAAAAGTAGGAAAGTAGTAAAGTCGGACTGGGCCGACTATATGATACCCTTCACCACTTTGTGTATATTCTACATATGTATCCGAAAAGACGTCGCCTTTTCGAAGGAATTTTGACATGAAATTGAACGAACTTAAATATGTGAGCTATATCTCACATATATGGGAGCTATATCTAAATCTGAACAGATTTTCACGAAACTTAGCACACATCATTCTAGATCTAATTCAGTAGGTCATACCAAATTTCGTGAAATCTAAAGATATATAGAGACTTTGGTAGACCATTTACCTAAAATCGGGCGAAACTATATATGGGAGCTATATCTAAATCTGAACAGATTTTCACGAAACTTAGCACACGTCGTTCTAGACCTAATTCAGGAGGCTATATCTAAATCTTAACCGATTTTCACGAAACTTGGCACACATCTTTCGAGGCTCAATTCAGTTCGCTATGCCAAATTTCGTGCAAATCGAAAGATTTTCAGGGACTAAAGTCCGTAAATCGGACAAAAATATATATGAGAGCTATATCTAAATCTGAACCGATTTTCCCAATTTCAATAGGTTCGTCCTTGGGCCAAATAAATGAGCTGTACCAAATTTCAGGCATATCGGATTATAAATGCGACCTGCACTTTGTTTACAATTTAACATCAACAGACGGACGGACATGCATACATCGACTCAGAAAGTGATTCTATGCATATTCTCAAAAGGTCTATCTCGATTCCTATATATATATAATTTTATATATAACGCTGAAGTCAATCTTGACAAGCAATAAGAAGGGTTGTACTGAATATTAGTGATATTCGGAAAATATTTCAGTGTATGGAAGATGTGCTGCTGACCTCTAATCGGGCCAGAGGGTGCAAATGTCACAAAATATTTCCCAGGCTCGGAATAAACTTTCTTAGAAAGTTAGAACTCCTTCGTAGTTGGGTAGGGTATCGTATGGTCGGTCCCGTCCGACTATACTGCTCCGTTCACTGGTTTTTGACTACCTCTCTTCGTCATACCCCATGATTGCAGACGCCTGATTAATTATTATGTGATATTTAAGCTTGTTATTTATTCGAATACTTAAATACAATGTTTAATAATTGACCATTTGCAAACCAGTTCAGTATATGTTAGCTATGCAGTTACTAAAATAAGAAATATATACCAAGCTGTAATTAAGTGAGTCAGGTCAAAGTATTTTCAGTTGTGAGAAAAAATAAGCTGTAATAACAAGTGTAAAAGGTAGACAACACGAAAAAACAGCGGTGTCATTCGTGGATCTTTCGGTTAATCCACTTCAATTTTCCTAAATGAACCACCCATTCCAAACAGATTATCCTCGTCAGCATCGAAAGCATTGCCCTGACGCAATGTTTCATCCGTACCATATTTGGCATTCTCTTTAAAATATTCTCTGTACTCATCAAATTTGGCGTCCAGAGATTGAATATGTTCCTCCATTGTGCCATTTTCTCCGCCATAATATTTGGGTAAATATTTCAAGGGTATGTGCTGCTTCAATTCATCCAATGAACCACAGAGAAAAATCTGCAGAGAAAAATTTATTAATTTTGATTTTTTGTTTGTATTTTATCCCGACTTACCCTCTTACGAAGTTTCTCCGAAAATAGTGGTAAAAACATTTTCAAAAAATTATTTGCTGTCGATGGTATATTGACTAAATACAAAGCCTTGATACGCATTGGCAGGGATTTTTCCAAATAGGTGACCATAATTTTCAATAATGGAAAATTGACATGAAGAAAATGGGTCATTGTTGCTTTAGCCATGTCCAAAATGAAGGCTGTGCCACAAATACAAGCATAAGGATCATCAATCATTAGATAATCATATATGGCAACACCGGGATGGAATAATTCAACGGGAGTAAATTCCAGAGGATTGTAGCTAAAGTGATACATTAATATGCGGCAACCCGTTTCATTCAAGGGTACCGGTAGGGTAGTAAAGCAGCTGGAATTTTTTAAATAATTTTTTTTTAATGAAATAATTTTCACTGAAATCCAATTTTTCCCCTTACCCCAATCGAGCGGTTTCCCGGAATCTCTCATTATCCACATCATAGATACCCAGTTTATCGGGAAATTTCGTTCGTATCGTATAGTAACGTTCAATTTTCTCCTTAGCCCTTTCCAGACTATATTTACAGCCACGCAGAAATTGTATTAAAAATTGATCATCTGTACGAGCTTTCAGATGTGGCTGTTGTTCAATCCATGATTTAAATGTTTGTAAATCTTCATCGATTCTGCCGGGCACTTCATGCAGTTGTTCTCTGGCAATTTTTTGCAATTCCGGTTTTAGTGGCTTAATCGTTGGCATGTTTGCACTTGAACTGTTTATTTGAAACTAACCTTCGGTATATTGGCCATATATGAGAATAGCTATATACAGGTATAAGAAAAAAAGTGAATCACGGTATTAAAAAACAGGTCGTTGATATTAAATTTTGAATTTCTTTCGTCTTTGTGTAGTGAATTGTATATTAGGGTGGATTTGAAAAATTAGCAATTGAAACATGATAATATATATTTAAATTTGTGGAAATAAACAAAACAAAGGAGATTTTTGGATAATAAACAAACAGGCAAATAAACAATGTTTGCGTGGAGAAGGGGATCGGGCCAAGGAATAAGCATGCCTGTTTTGATAAAGATCGGTCAATATTTAGCGGGTAAAATGGACCCTGACTTTTGTGTGAAAATGACAAAATTTGTATTCTATGGCGTATATACTTGCCCCTGAAGGCCTAGTTGGTAGTATGTTCAAGAGGAGTGGTTGACCTTTAAATTGATACCAATTATATTATTATATGGTTGTATGTACTCAGATGTGGGAGGTTCACTTAAATTTTTACAGGTGCTTACGTATCCAGACATTATTTAGTAACCCAAAACCACACTAAAGGGCGGAAATATAGCGCTGATCGCTTTGAAAATTTCCATGAGATTCCAATTATGGTCAAGGACAACGCCTATAATTTTCGGTGATGATCAGATAATAATTGTGGGATGAAGTGGACCAAAAACTTAACTTTTTGTGTTTTTTTTTCAGTCGATCTATAGGCCACTGTTGAGGGTCCAACATCACAACATAACCCACGGTAAAGAGAATTCGGACAAGTATAGCCCTCGTCTACTGAATATTAGTGATATTTGTTGACCTTTAGTTGGGTTTCAAGAGGGTGCAAATAACGCAAAGTTCGATTTTCGTGGAATATGTCAAAACAAAATTCTTGAAATAACCCAAATTTCTAAAATGTGGCGGTACCTTTATTTGGGAACTGTTCCAATATATCCAAATTTTAGTCGTCGGTATCAGTCGGTAATAAAATGGACTAGAAACGTTATTTTTGTATTTTTTTCTAGTCATCTGTTTTCTAGTGCTATAGATTATTGTCTTAGATTTTAACCTTGAATCGACTCACTGGAGGCGTCAATCGGTCCCTATTTCCAGACTATTTAAACCCACCTATATCAATATTATGACATGCATCACAGTGCGGTGTAGGGTGCAAATAGGAGACAAATAGGAGCTAGATTTAAATCGGCTCAAATTTAAATCCAGCTCCCATATAGGTTTTTGTTCGATTTTTTTTTTTTTTTTTTTTTGTAAATAGATCACCAATGCCCTTATATTTATTTCGAAATTGTGTATACTGTATTAAATTGATTCTAGAATGAGGTGAGGTGGTAAGTTTTATTGAAATAGGTTTAGATTTAGATATAGCTCCCATATATGTTCGGTTGATTTTAAGGAAAAGGAGTGCCACAGCCCCTATATTTGTCTTGATTTAAACGAAATTGTTCATAGCGTATTAAACTGAGTCTGGAATGATATGTGCTAAGTTTTGTACAAATCGGTTTAGATTTAGATATACCTCCCATATATATGTTCAGCAGATTTTATGCAAATGTTGCACAAATGTTGTCCGATTAAGACGGAATTTGGAATACCATAACGTATTAATACTATAATGATGTCAGCGAAGTTTCGTTGGAATCGGTTATGCGCTGAGTTTCGTTAAAACCGGTTTAGATTTAGATATAGCCGCCGATTGTCCGATTTTAGGCAAAAATGGAACATCAATACTCTTATATATCTTTCGATGTATATGAAATTGTGCATAGCATATCAAATTGAGTATAGAATGATCTGTCTGATGTTTTGTTGACATCGGTTCAGATTTAGATATAGCTCCCATATGTTTGCCGATTAATACGAAATATGGAATACCGTACCGTATTATCTCTGTAATGATGTATGCGAAGTTTTGTGGTACAGATTTAGATATACCTCCCATATATATTTTCATTCGATTTGTATGTAAATGGTGCACCAAAGAGCCAATGATGTTTGTTCGATTTGCACGAAATTTGGCAGAGGGCATTGAATTGATTTTAGAATTATGTGTGTTAAGGTATAATTTTAATTGGTTCATATAACTATGTAGATCACATATTTAATTTCGTCCGAATCCATTCTTTGTACAAGTTTCTAGATAAAACCAGAATGGACCCTAGAAAGATCAAAAAGGTTGTCTATTCTTTGGAGAGCTCTACGGAATACTCTTCCAGCTTCCCTTCACCACTTTAGAGATCTTCTGTCAATTGAAACACCTTGAATGTTTGCCTATCTACAAAATTGTCCGTGTAGGTCTTATATCTATAGAGGCCTTCTGGAATCTATAGAAAACTTGTGGGAAGTACTTAAATTTAAACCAGTAAGGAAAGTAGTAAAGTCGGACTGGGCCGACTATATGATACCCTTCACCACTTTGGGTATATTCTACATATGTATCCTACCAGACGTAGCTTGTTATTATTATAGACGTAATTCAGTATGCTATGCTAAATTTCGTGCAAATCGAAAGATATATAGGGTCTTTGATGCACCAATTACTTTAAATCGAATATATATGAGCTATATCTAAATCTGAACCGATTTTCACAAAACTCTGCACACACCATTCTAGACTTAATTCAGTGCGCTATGCCAAATTTCGTGCAAATCGAAAGATATATAGGGACTTTAGTGGACTATTTACCTAAAATCGGACGAAAATATATATATGGGAGCTATATCTAAATCTGAACCGATTTTTCCCACTTTAAATAGCGTTCGTCCTTGGGTCAGACAAATGAGCTGTGCCAAATTTCATCCAATTCGGATAATAAATGCGACCTGTACTTTGTTTACAATTTAACATAGACAGACGGACGGACGGACATGCATAAATCGACTCAGAAAGTGATTCTACGCATATTCTCAAAAGGAACCATGGGTCTATCTCGATTATTTTTCCCTGTTACAAACATATGCACAAATACATAATACCCTGTACCACAGTGTGGTGAAGGGTATAAAAAGACCTTCAGTTAATGTCTTGAATCAGCAAAATATCGACCATAACTAGAAGAACTCTGTAAGATCTTTTATCTATAGAAAAGGTGTTGGGGTCTCTTGGTGACACCTTGAATGTCCCTTACAAATAAAATATCGTTGGATGAACATCTTCTCTCTGCAGAAAATTGTGGTTATCAGTTGGAACCCCAAATGTGATTGCTTGATAATACCTGTAGATTAGTGTATGTATTACATTTTATGTAGTCATAAAAAGCTAATTAATGAGGAAATTAACGAATATCTCAGTACATTGTAATGTAATGTAATTACATACTTATATTCGTGCGTACATATATTTACGTATAAAAAACTCTTCGTGTTGAACAAAATAAATGCAAATTATTTAGTTAGTTACATGTCGAACTTAAAAATATAAACATGTCTCAAGAAAAAACCCTCCCTTCGACATTACAAAGCGTTGCAATTGAAGAACTTTTCGAAATACCCTCTCGAATACCAGACGATTTACAGGCCTTGAAATTATGGATTGAACAGCAGCCTCACTTAACAGCTCGTACAGATGACCAATTCTTATTGCAATTTCTGCGCGGCTGTAAATATAGCATGGAAAGGGCCAAAGAGAAAATCGAGCGGTTCTATACAATGAAGACTAAATTTCCCGAAACCTTAGGCATTTATGATTTGGATAATGAGAGATTTCGTCAAGTGGCGCGGTTAGGGTAAGATAATCGACAAAATATATACATTTTATTTTAGTATATAATAATTGTATTTTAGCTGTGTTGCCCCCTTACCCATACCCCTCAATGGCGATGGCTGTCGCTTGGTCATGGGTCATTTCAATTATAATCCTCAGGAATATCGTGTTGAGGAGATATATCATGTTGGTTCGGCCATGTATGAAATATTTCTCATTGATGATCCCTATGCCTGTATTTGCGGGATAATTAACATTGTCGATATGTCCCAGGTTACGATGGCACATTTATTACATGAAAATGCAAATTTTCTTAAAACCGGCATTGAATTTATAGAAAGTGCAATGCCCCTGAGAAATAAGGCCGTTTATTTTGTAAATGTTTCACCGGCAGCTGCACAATTTTTCAATTTTTTTATTCCCTTATTTTCGGAGAAATTAAGGAAGAGGGTGAGTAAAAATGGAAATAAAAAAAATAAATATTGCAAATTTAATATTTTTCTAAACCTTTTTAGATTTTCATTTGTTCCACCTTGGAGGATTTGAAGCAACACATACCACTCAAATATTTACCTGAATATTATGGTGGTGAAAATGGTAGCATGGAGCATCATATCAAGGCCCTGAAAGCCAAATTCGATGAGTATAGAGAATATTTCCAGGACAACGTTAATTATGGTGTAAATGAATCATTGCGACAAGAAGAGTCTTCAGATGTGGACAAATTATTTGGTCTTGGTGGTTCATTTCGAAAACTGGAAGTAGATTAATTAAAAAAATAAAAGTAACAAAATTGGGATAAAGAAAATATTTGAAGAACTAGTTACTGTGTTATTTTCGAATAAAGAAAAGAAGTTGGTAGGAGCTGAATTATTCTTCAGAAAAATACATCGAAGCCTATGATAGGAAGCTTCCAAAACATTTTTGATACATAAAATGCCATATATCAGCAAAAAATTCTACAAGTGAAGATTTTCCAGATATATTTTCTTAGTAAAAGACCTTCATAGTGTCACCAAGAGACAGAAGAACCTCAACAATTCTTCTAACTCTAATTCCGATCCTATAACTAGGATTCTTCCATTTATTGTGACAAAATGTTCTTTCGATATAAGATCTTCCAACGATATTTTATTGAGAGAACTCCAAGGTGTCACTAAGAAACAGAAGAGTCCAACACTTCTTCTTTAGATAAAATTCTTTGAAGAGTTCTTTCTAAATTTGAACCTAGAGGTCTTCCATATATCGACAGCATTTTAATTAGAACGAAGACCTTCCAAAGATAATTTATTGGGAAGAAACCTGTAAGAGGTCATCAAGGTCAGAAGATGCCTAATACTTCTTCTTCTACGAATAAAATACATTTAGAATTCCGTATCAGAATTACAGAAAATAAATCGTCTAGATATATTTTATTAATAAAAGACCTTCATGTGGTCACCAGAAGGTCTGGTTTATATATTTAATTTAATTTTATAATATATATGTCTATAATATTTTATATTAAATACAAGGCTTTCCATAAAAAACCTTCTCCAATGTAAATACTTTCCACAGATCCCCTATAATAAGGAGCCTTCAAACCGTATACCTTTGGGGATCTGTTATAGATAGGAGACCCCCAAGAGGGCTTCTACAGAAAATAGCCCTTTTAGAAATTGGTTCCATACATATACAGACTAAAAGTCATGTGGAGATATTAAAAACAGTAAGGAAAGTGGTAAAGTCGGACGGGTAGTAAAGTAGGACGTTGCGTTTTAGAAAGACCAGACCATGAAATTGGATCCATAAACATATCATTCTGCAACCTATACTAAATTTTTCATTTGGTCAGATATAGAGTTGCTTCTTACAATGGGACAAATTTATATAAATCAATTTAAAGCAACTATCAATCGGACACCCGTTGATCTAAATCTGAACCCATTTCAACAAAACTTGGCACACGTTATTTTATAGTATCTTCAGTACGTTGTGCAAAAATTTGTGCCAATCGGAGCCACCTAGGGAGTTTGGCGCAGAATTTATATCTAACTTCTATATAGTTATACTAACTTCAGTACGTTGTGCGAAATTTTGTGTACGGACGAAAATATATATGTAGAAGCTATATCTAAATCTGAACCGATTTCAACGAGAATTGCCAGAGATTAATTTATATTAACTACAGTTCATTGTACAAACTTGTGTAGCAAACGGACAAACTTTGGGTCTTTAGTGCAGAATTAACATAAAATCGGAATATATATTTTCTTCCGATTTTATGGAGTCTATGTCTAAATCTGAACCGAAACTTAGCACACATCACTCTAGACTTAATACAGTGCACTATGCAAAATTTTGTGCAAACCGAAAGATATATAGGGACTTTGATACACCATTTACCTTAAATCGGACGAAAATATATATGGGAGCTATATCTAAATCTGAACCGATTTTCACGAAACTTAGCATACATCATTCTCGACCTATTCCATTACGCTGTGCCAAATTTTGTGCAAATCGAAAGATATATAGGGACTTTGGTACACCATTTACCTTAAATCGGACGAAAATATATATGGGAGCTATCTGAATGAAAATCTGAACCGATTTTCACGAAACTTGGCACACATTATTCTCGACCTAATTCATTACGCTATGCCAAATTTTGTGCAAATCGAAAGATATTTAGGGACTTTGGTGCACCATTTACCTTAAATCGGACAAAAATATATATGGGAGCTATATCTGAACCGATTTTCACGAAACTTAGCACACATCATTATAGACCTAATTCATTACGCTGTGCCAAATTTCACACAAATCGAAAGATATATAGGGGCTTTGGTGCACCATTTACCTTAAATCGGACGAAAATATATATGGGAGCTATATCTAAATCTGAACCGATTTTTTCCAATTTCTATAGGGTTCGTCCTTGGGCCAAATTAAGTGACCCAGGGACGTACGCAGAAGGTTTTTTTCACAGTAAATTTATGTTTGCAACAGCGAATTTCTTAATTTTTTTGTATGGTTAATAGACATTCAAATGCTCACCAAGAGATTGAATAGCCCCTACACTATTTTCTATAGATAAAATATCTTAAAGAATTATTCCTAAATCTGAACCGACCTTTTAGTTGATCAATATATCGAAGACACATTCTTCAGAGAGTTTGCTAGATACCTTCATGGGATCACCAAGAGTCAGAAGAGCCCCAATAGTTATTCTATAGATAAAATACATTTAAGATTTCTTACTAAATCTCAACTGACTTTCGAGAGGTCTTCCATATATCGAAATCATTTTCTTAGGAAAGAAAATCTTCCAAAGATATTTTATAGGTATGAAGCCTTCACCAAGATATAAAAGAGCCCCACCACGTTTCTTATGAACCGACTTTCTAATGGTCTTTCATATATCGAAATCATTTTGTACAGAGAGAAGATATTCCAATCATATTTTATGGATAAGAAGCCTTAAAGGGGTCAAAAAGATATAGAAGAGCCCCACCACGTTTCATATGTAGATAATATAGTTTTAAAAGTTCGTTTTTTAAGATCGATCCTCTACTAATATCAGACATAAGAACTTCTTCAATTTAAATACATTTCGCAGGTCCTCTGTAATTTCCACGTCTCCAAGGAGTCTTCAATACTTATTTGCTCGTCAACCGAAGCCATCCTGGTTTCTGTATAGATAGGTATATTATCTATCCCAAGAGGGTTTCTATATGAATAAGGCATATATGGCTGTATAAGGCAATAGAGCTTCTATAGATAGAAGACCTCCAAAGGAGCATTCTATAGACCACCAATGAGCCTCTTGTGACAGAACGCCCAAAACGGGACTTCCAAGACCTCCAAGACACTCGAGGGTTATTTTATATTATGATAGAAATCCATCAAACGGTGTTTATAGACAGAAGACATTGAAGGGGTTCTATCTATGGAAGGAGTTTTCTATAGACAGAAAATCTCTAATTTCTCTTTTTTATATACAAGAAGAAGATAGAAGACCTGAGACTTGAAAGTAGATTTCCCAGAGACATTCTATAGAAATAAGTTGGAGACCTTTTCTCTATACAGAAAAACCTTCTTCAGATAGAAGATTTTCAACGGGCGTTTTCATAATGAAAGACCTATAAGGGACCTTTTACGGATAAAATATCCTGAGGTGTCTGTTAGAGGGAAAACTATCAAGGAATGTTTTAAAGACAGAAGACCTTCACGGGGTTTTTCAATCTATGATAGGTGATTTCTATTGAAAGAAATCTCAACCCTGTCTTCTACATGTACAAGAAGAATGTAGAAGACCTTCAACGGAATTTTGTGGGCAAAACTGGAATCTTCTAAAAATGGGAGACTTGAAAGCGGTCTTCTATAGCTAACTACATAGGATTTTCTAAAAATATAAAACCTAAAAACCTTTTTTAAGCTCTTAAGGGGACCCCACCCCATTCTCGGTTTCAAAAAATTTAATTTTGTATTGTATTCAAGAATATCTCTATGAAATATCAAGTGCAAATCTTGAAGATATAGCCGATTTATTGTACTGGCATCAAGTGACGACAAGAGGGCTTCTCAATCTTTAATCGATTTTTCTCCAAACAGCGTTGGCGGGCACGATAACTCAAAAACTAATAATCCGATTCCAAATCTTGGGACGTTTCTCTGTGAGTGTATAACTATCGTATGAACTAGAATAAATCCAATTTGTCAAGATCTTCTTTATTTTTTAACTTAGTTTGTGGTAAAAAATAGGCGATTTTCCAAAAATATTTTTTTTATAATATTTACAAACCTTAACAAGCTTTAGTATTGATTTACCAGCCATTGAAAACAGGTCTTTTTTCATAATTTCATTCATTGTTTATTTTTTCTCATATTGTACATGTATTTCTCTCTCTCTCTCTCTCTCTCTCTCTCTTTTGGCAATATCAAATATATTCCTTCAAAGAAAAAAGCCAACACCATTCATTGTGTGGCTGTGTTTTGTTTTAGTATCGTCCTCTGACTCTTTCCTCCGTTGTTGGTTGTTTGTTTTGCAACCGTTTGTTTGTCTACGGTATCTCTTGTTTACAGCCGCGTGCTCTTCACTCAATTGATTGTGATTAGTTTTGCATTCAATTGTTTCTTTATTTTAAACATTGTCACCCACCTCTGCATTGGTGTTATATAATTCGCATATGTATTTTCCAAATTATTTCGATATAAATGCCAAATGCAATATAGCAAACAAGTGTTGATGCGAGCAACAAGCTCTACCGAATGTTCTACATTGCACAGGATTTTTATAATAACGCAAAACATGAACATGTAAGTAAGACAAATCGAGACACGACAAAACAAAGAAGAAAACATAGAATGAAAATAGAACCATTTAAACGACAAATAGTTTATGTGCCATAGAAAACCCGCCACCACCACCACCCAACACAACTTGTTTCTGTAGGGTCAAAAATATATTAGCAGACCATTTTCGATATATGTCCCCATACAGGGTGAGAGAAAAAACTGCAACCAACTTCAGACTGCTGTCATTTCTAAGCTACTCGTCCGACAGCTTTTAAAATTATTCCAGTGAAAGCTCATTATGTTGTTTACAAGCGTACAAAAGCATTTTGGTGAGAATTTTCCAGAAAAAAGTGATGGAATTCAAGCGTCATAGTGTGATTTCTTTATATTTGGCTGGAAAACCACAAGTGGCTATCGTTAGATCACTCCAGCATTTAAATGTGAAAAAATCTTTTGCGTCTCGTATCATCGCTCGTTACCGAGATACTGGTAGCGTACTCCGACGTCAAGGAAGTGAACGGAAGAAAACAGCAACATCAGCAGAAACCCGCGTCGCAGTGGCCGAAAAATGGCTCGTGAGCTGAACATATCGCAATAGTCCATTCGGCATGAGCTCGGGGTAAAACCATTGAAATTCCAAAAAGTGCAAGAACTTACACCGCAACAATAAGAAAATAGACTCAAAAGAGCTAAAGATTTGCTTCGCTGGGCCCAAAATGGTGAACTGTCGAATTTGGTTTTCTCCGACGAGAAAACATTCGTTGTCCAGCAGCTTGTAAGCAAACAGAATGATCGTGTTTACTTGCCAAAGAGATCAGCTGAAAATGTGCACCTTCGGTTGGCCACCAGAACTCAAGCGCCGGCCATAGCGATGGTCGCTCTCCGCTCGTACATTCCAACAGGACTCAGCACTATCGCTCTCAGCACGTAACAATTATGGCGTTTGACTTTGTTGTAGTTTTTTTATCTCACCCTGTATAACTTATCGATGTTTTTACGTGTTGGGCATGTAAAGGATTCTAAATGTATTATATATGTAAAGAGTATTAAATATTTAATTTTCTATGGATTTTAATCTACTTCTAGCTTTCGAAATGCTCCACCAACTCCATATAATTCATCAATATTAGCAGAGCCACCTTGACGCAAAGATTCATCTGTACCATAGTTAGCATTCTCTTTGAAAAACTGCCGATACTCATCAAATTTAGATTCAAGGGCACGAATATGATCCTCCATCGAACCATTTTCACCATCATAATATTCTGGTAGGTATTTGAGAGGTATGTATTTTTTCAACTCCTCCAAGGTTGGATATAAAAAAATCTATAAGAACATAATAAAATATAAAAATATTTCCCATTAGTAAATAATACCCTGTACCACAGTGTGGTGAAGGGTATAAAAAACGAAATATCTCACCCTTTGTCGTAACTTTTCCGAAAACAATGGTAACAGTAATTTGAAAAAACTCGAAGCTATCTTGGGGATATTAACAAAATAAATGGCTTTTATACGCAAGGGTAGAGATTTTTCAAAAAATGTAACCATGGTTTTTAGAAAAATTGGATTTGCTTGCAGCACATGGGCCATTGTCACTTTGGACATATCAATTATGGTGACAATACCACAGATGCCAGCATATGGATCATCTATGGTAAATAATTCATAAATGGCAATACCAACATGTGCCATTTCTTCTGCGGTGCATTCTTCGGGATTATAATTGAAATGATTCATTACAAGGCGGCAACCAGTGTCATTTAGAGGTATGGGTAGGGGGGCAATACAGCTACACGAGGAAATAAGAGCCAAATAAAATTCCAATAGAAATTTTCGTATTAAAATTGATTTATCCTTACCCCAATCGAGTGATTTGACGAAACCGTTCATTGTCAACATCATAAATACCCAAGATGTGTGGAAATTTCGTCTTTAGTGTATAATAACGATCGATTTTCTCTTTAGCCCGTTCCAGGCTATATTTACAACCACGTAGAAATTGTATTAGAAATTGATCATCGGTTCGAGATTTTAGATGGGGTTGCTGGCCAATCCATAATTTCAGGGCATCCAAATCTTCTGATATTCTTGTGGGCACTTCAAAAAGTTCTTCGTTGGCAATTTTTTGTAATATTGAATTGAGTGGTTTTATATGGGCCATGTTTAGTGTTGAAAGTACGATTTGTAACTGAAACCTGAATATGTGCAATGTTTTACTTTGAGTTTTTGTTTTAAAGTTCATTGATTATCGATCATTAAAAAAATAATACTAATTAATTAACAATATAATTATTTGTGTGTATTTATGTATGTAGGTATGTATATAAATTATTGTTAAACTATTTAAATTAAATTAGTCCACAAATACACGTGATGACCTAAATTATAAATCTGATTTTTTTGAAATATAAACCAGTAAGGAGTATAGTAAATGTAGACGGGGCTGACTATATGATACCCTTCACCATTTTTTGGTAGGACCGACGTAAATCAATCCATACATATGTCATTCTGCAACCTATGCTAAATTTCATTTCATTCGGGCAGATTTATAGTCGTTTGTGAACAATGGGATAGAACTATGCAAATTATTTGATTATTTGGTGTCCAATGAAGACGGACGAAAATAGATATGGTAACTATATCTAAATCTGAACCGATTTCTACAAAAGTTAATACACGATTAGATTCAATTTAATACGATATACAAAATTTCGAATCAATCGAATGAACTTTGGGAGTTTGGTGCACCATATGCATAAAATCGGACGGAGATATGTATGGGATGTATATATTTAATCCAGTAAGGAAAGTAGTAAAGTCGGGCGGGGCCGACTATGTGATACTATTCACCACTATGGGTATATTAAACAGGACTATTAACATGAAATTGGATGAACTAAAATATGCGATATTTATCTAAATGTGAATCGACTTCGATCAATCCATAAACATGTCATTCGTTTCTTACAATGGGACAAAAGTATGTAAATCGACTTCAAATAAATATCAATAGGACATCCGTTGTGCTATGTCTGTACTTCTAGAAAACGCAACTATGTTATTCTATGCTCAATTTTGTACGTTGTGCAAAATTTGATGTCAATCTGACAAACACGTGAATATATATGGACGAGAATATATATGGAAGGTATATCCAAATATGAACCGATTTCAACGAAACTTGTCACAGGTTTGGTTATACTAATTTCAGTACGTCCCATCTGCCATATATTGGTTCTTTGGTGCGTCAATTTCTTAAAATCAATCGATAATATATAAGGGAGCTATATCTAAATCTCAACCGATTTTCACGAAACTTGGCACATATCATAGGAACTTTGGTACATTAATTACACAGTGACACATTTTTCAACTTTAAAATCTTGAACCAATCGAGACCCCCAAAATCTTGAAGCTTGTGATGGTGGAAGAAAATCCCTAGCTGGGTTTTGCATTATTAGCTAAGGTTTTCTTTTAAATGAATTTTTAAAATATTCGACTGGAGGTGGATTTTAACACAATTTTCGAATAATACGTACTTATTATTGAGTCTATATCTCGTGAACTATTCGAAATATTGCTTTTCTCTCTTAAGCAATATTCTTCCTATTAATTAGATCTAAAAATTTTTTCTTGAGATAAAATCAATAAAACATCACCATCATACTGAAAATAGCACAACTGCAAAAAAATTAAAATTTCGACATACTTTTTCCATGTTTTTTCACACTTATTTCAGAAACTGCTACTGACTCGACCAAACAATATATGACAAGAAGATAGCCAATAGCAAATCAAACAACTCTTCTTAAAACCCCGATTTCATTGGTTGACTCCTTCACATAGTTATAGCCTCACAAATTCATCAAAATGAGCCAAAGAAATTCACTCCCAATTGTATGTTTATAGAAATAAAAATTGCTATGCTTTTTCAATAAATAGGTACAAAATTAAAGTAAAAATTAAAATGTTTGGGCCCTTTGGTTTTTTTTGAAGACATGTCGCAGCGATATATGAACAGGGTCATTCTGCAACCGATACTAAATTTTTCATTTGGTCGGATATATAAGTTATATCTAAATCTGAACCGAATTCAGGAAACTTAACACACATCATTCTAGACCTAATTCATTGTGCTGTGCCAAATTTCGTGCAAATCGAAAGATAAATGGAGACTCTGGTGCACCATTTACCTTAAATCGGACGAAAATATATATGGGAGCTATACCCAAATCTGAACCGATTTTCAAGAAATTTTACACACATCATTCTGGACTCAATTCAGTACGCTATGCCAAATTTCGTGCAAATCGGAAAATATATAGGGACTTTGGTACACCATTTACATGAAATCGGACGAAAATATATATGGGAGCTATATCTAAATCGGAACCAATTTTCAGGAAATTTTACACACATCATTCTAGACTCAATTCAGTACGCTGTGCCAAATTTCGTGCAAATCGGAAGATATAAAGGAACATTGGTTCGCCATTTACATGAAATCGGACGAAAATATATATGGGAGCTATATCTAAATCTGAACCGATTTTCAAGAAATTTTACACACATCATTCTGGACTCAATTTAGTACGCTATGCTAATTTTTGTGCAAATCGGAAGATATATAGGGACTTTGGTTCACCATTTACATGAAATCGGACGAAAATATATATGGGAGCTATATCTAAATCGGAACCGATTTTCAGGAAATTTTACACATCA